ACGAGGCCGTTGGCTCAGTCCCCAGCATCTTGGGGGAGGGTATAAAATAAAAAGAAAATATATAAATACAAGACAATTTAAAGTATGTATCAATTGCATAAGACCATAGAAAGACTTACCATTACCTAAAATTTTCTCTACCTACCCTCAAACAGTTTTAGTCCTGCAACAGGGACTGCTGTTACAGGGTTATAATGGTTTCATGACTTGAGTGAGGAAGCTCTGTTCCATCCTAAAAGTCAAGCAAGGAAGGAGATCACTTAAATTGTGTTCTATCTTTCCAATGATCAGAAGAAAAGAATTCTTAATTTTCTCCCATAAAAACCACATATCAAGGGCTTATTATGGGCCTGGTGCTGTCAGGGGTGGAGATAAAATGTTAAGAGAAAATGAGGCATCTGTCCTAGCTTTATTCAAAATTCTGCTAGTGCAAAGCTCAAAAAAGCCACCAGGCTGGCCACCAAAAACTTCTGGACTCTCCCTATCAAGGGAGACACTTCCATACTATAAAGCAGGCCCTGCCACAGAACTACAGCCTTAAAGGAGCAGGGAGGGATTCACTTGTTCAACTACATGCTCTACCTAATACTTGCTGCTAAAAGTGAACCATCGACGCTGAGGCACCCATGGAACAATCAAGGCAGATTGTGCAGACATGTCTACACCAGGACACATTAATAGAATATAGAATATACAGAACGATTAAAAAAAAAAAAGCAGCCATACCTTAAAGAAATCAGGTCAGGCTTAATGAGAACCAGTCACAGGCTTTCCCTATTCTGACTATCTTGTTCACTCTGCTTGCTTGTTTTCCTTGGAAGCCTATCATCACAAGTGCATTTTCTTCGAAAAGATGAGTAAGGAATTAGAAAATGAGAATAGGAAATGGAAAATAACATTTCGTCTTGTGTTTTTCCTAAGGCAGACTCATCACAACACATACTCAAAAAGAAAGATCAGTATTAAGGTTTTTCTCTATATAATCAATCAGATACAGCTTCCCCCCTGCTTTAAAACAGAACTCATTATTTTCTACAGAAGCATTTCTAAGCCACACATACTTATCCTCTCCAGGGAAGGGAAAAGGTGTCAAGGGGGACACCACTGGGACCCCTGGGAAGAGCTGGCTGGTTCTCATCGGGCACCTTCCTCCCTGCAGCCCCTCTACTCACAGCTTCCTGTTTTTTTTCAGTCTTGCCTTCCCTGTAATTCTCGTGGGCCGAGAGTGCCCCGATGATGCCTGCCCTATTTCTGAGAAGATAAAAGATAGAGCTGCAGAAACTGCTTCATTTTTCTCTAACAATCTAAAGTGTTTCAAGTCAGAACCTGAACCCTGAAAGAAAAGGGAAATCTTTGACAACAACTTCAATCATTTTCTACATTCACAAATAAACATCTAATGGTCAGTTTCAGTTTTTCCATTTCAAAAAAAATGAAGAACTATATGGTAGAAAGGAAAAAAATGCTCAAAAGTTTAGATTATAAAGAATTTTAGTGCTGTTTGCTATTTGTAAGTATTATTGCTAAATGAGTAAACAGAAGAGAAAGTACTAGACGAAAGAAGATTTCAAAGTTGGTTGCAAAGGAAGATCTAAATGCTTGGTTGGTTTACCTGTTCCCTACCAGCATTCTCCTTTCTTCTATTTAAGAGTTTAGAGGGACTCGCTCACTCTTCATTCCACAGGTATCCCTGGAGGACTCCCTGTGCCTGGTACTACCAGGAAGGCAAAGTCTGCAGATGGGCTTGAAAGTAGGTATGGTAGGTGGATGTCAAATCATTTATAAAAGTCATTAGTAGGCTGCTTTTCAGCATCCCTATAACAATTTTTGCCTTTAAAACTCAGCTTGATTTGGCGGTAGAGTACTGTATGAATTATTGAATTGTTTCTATTCTATTCTCAATTCAAGTAGCAACAGAAATAAACACTTTATCTCAAAAGTCTGGCATGCATCTTTTGATTCCATTCAATTCAGTAAACTTTTCTACTTGTATATTAATATCAATTGTCCTGTGTGATCATAGAAGACCTCCTCTATTGGGGTCTGGGCCTACATTTTCACAACTAAGTGCCTTTTGTGGGAAACAGAAGGGAAAATAACATCTCTTTCTTGGTTGTCTTCCCCAGTCTCTGGTGGGTACAGGAATGTTGGAATGTAAGAATCCAGAACAGGCTTATCCCAGCTTCTAGGACCATTTATTTCTTCCCATGTATACTTTCCTCCTCATTGCCACCAGGGCCATGTGGAGGGGCCACCATATGGCTCCCCTGGCCCCATATGGCTCTACCTCACTAAAAGGGGCGCTCAGGAACATAAAAATGCTGCTGCAGGCTTTTATTGCAGCCCCTTCTCATTTCCCTCCATCTGTCTTCCATATGGTTTATGCAGCTCGATTAGGCTCTTGCACACACAGGCCTCTGATAATGAGCCTGCCGGCCACCCCCAAGATAAAGAACTAGAACTCACCTCAGTCAATGGTAAGGGGCCTCAATGACTTGAAATATACCATTCATTTAGTATTCTAACTAGTGCAAATGAATAAGCACTTTTCTTCAATGTACATGCAAAATTTTGTTTTCTAAAATTTTATCAACAAAAAGCTACATGATAGCTTTTCAGTTGTATTTTCTCCAAGCTTAAAGTTTTGAAAAGCTACATGAGACTTCCACTTAGGTGTCCCTTTTCTATGCACATAACTCTCTCCAAAGTTGACTTTTTCCTTTTTATCAAATTCTCCTTTGATGGGAGGAAAGTTGCTATTATTTTTACTCTCCAATATCTCTATAAAACTGAAGTTTCATGTGTGTCTACCCCTCAATGTCTAAGGAAATGAGCAGCAATCAGGTGGGACTGACCCTGACTAGCCCCCTCCTGCTCTACTTAGGTCAGGGCTGTGTGGGTCAAATCACTGAGTCCTGATCCTCTGCTTTGTGTGCAGGTGGCCAAAGTGAAATATTTGACCTCAGGGTTGGTATAATTGAGAATAAAAATCACTAGACACCATGTGCATCCCCATTCCCAACAGGAAGCAATTGCTGGCATTAGTAACAGTAATAAAGGTGATAAGACATTCCCTGTTAAATGGCCAACCTGTTAGTGAGCACCTGGGCCATTTTTCTCAAAAGTAAAGAGGATGGGCTGAGGGTACAGCTCAGTGGTAGAGCACCTGTCTAACTTGCACCAGGTCCTGGTTTTCATCTTTAGCACCTCAAAGAAATGGGCAAGGTGGGGTGGAGAGAGAGAACACAAACTAATGACAAGTAGTAAGAAAAAAAGAATTCAAATTAAATAATTTCTATACTTATGATACTAAGCAGCAGAAAGCATCCAACACCTCCAAAGCTCTACCACATTTAAAGTATACTGTTCTCTTTCCATGACAGGCAACTTCCTGCCTTTTAAGTGCAAACCACCTGTGTAAAGTAGTCTGGCAGTCATTATGTGGGAAAGTATGCCCAGTTCCATGATAATTGTGCCTGATGAAGCAGAACATGGGAATAGTGCTTAAATGCATGAAATATTAATGTGCAGACATACAAAACAACCCAGAAAGTGCCACAACAATACTTTTCTTTTAGCTTATTTTGTTGTATATAAGGGAGAGCTATTGATTTTCCCAATTAAATGCCAAATATTCATTTGAATTTTGAAATTGACAATAACATTATTGTAGGATATGTGATTGAATCACTTGCTTTTTTTTTAAAAACCCATTCACATATTTCACACATTGCTTCTCTTATTGACCTTTGTAATGTAATATAGATCTAGCCATCACTCATGTTCAAACAAAACTACTGATGCTGGGCATGGTGCACACAACTATAGTCTTTGCTGTACTCAGGAGGCTGAGGCAGGAGTATCTCAAGTTTGAGGCCAGCCTGGACAACACAGTGACACCTTGTTTCAAAATAAAAAAAAAAATAGGACTGGGGAGGTAGCTCAGTGGTAAGAGTGCTTGTCTAGGCCCAGGGTTCAATCCTCAGTAACCCTTTTCCCTTCCACAAACAAACAAAAAAACTACAGGGATTCAAGGAGACTGTATTTTACCATCCCTTCTGCATGGTAAAAACCTAAGTAGATATTTTGTACTAATACAACCTGCAGCTCTCTTTTCTTGATGCAATTGGTTTTGCAAAGTATGGGTGTCACAGGTGCTATGGTAGCCACAAAAAGTGCATTTTAGTGAGGGGATCAAGTTGTAAAATTCAGGCCAACACCAGAGTCCCATTCACTGGAATAACTGCTCCAGGCTGGAACAAATTGCAAATTCTGCATCAGAGAAGCAAGTGCTCTCCCTGCCCTGATAAAGGAAATTATGGGGAAATCATTTTATAAATGGAGTAGTAGTGTTTTCAAAAGTGCATGGATGAAAAAGCTAAATGGGTATTTTTCTCTCAGGTCGAATAAAAAAGGACAAGTCTGATCAATAAGGCTCTAGTGAATTATAGTTTCTAGTCTGGAAAGCTGAGTATCATTTTCTGCACCCCAGGGCTTGCTCTGAGCAGCAGTTTGTAAACCACTTGGAAAAAAAGCAGAAGTTGCTGCTGAGCATATAGCTGCTGAGTAGTTTCAGTAATTGTTGACATTTCAGCAGGGAAGCTGCTGCCCCCAGTTCAGCATCTCCTACACACCAGGTAAATGTCTGCTAACCTTCCTCCCCTTGTATTTCTTTCCACTGCACAAGGGCTATAGAACACTGGCCTTTTGCCAGTTGCCTTTAGGTAAGATTTAGTAAAAATTACCAAAGAAATAAGAACATCCCCCTTCATATCATGTTCTTTGTACAGTTACTTCCCAGGCAGCTGCTTGGGAACTACATGTGTCCATTTACTGGATTTAAACAAAACAGCACAGGGCAAAGGGGGAGGCACACAAAGCATATGCTATTTCATCCCACCTGGTTTCAGCCAACAGTGGGAGCCTCGCCCCTAAGGATACTGACAAGGGCATCAGCAGCTTCCTGCAAGTCTGGAAGCAGGAGACACCCCTTGCCTTACCTGTTTCTTTGTCCTGGACTTCCTCCAGGTGCAAGTCATTCAAAAGGTGCTCCAAGATCTTCTCTGGGGTTCCCGACACCACCACGTATCTGTCAGAGAGCAGAGAGTCCACTGAGTCATCCTCGGTGGAAGACTGCGAGCGGCTGCTCCATTCATCATCCTCATCCTCTTCGTCGATGTATTTGAAATAAGGCACATCGAAGGTAGGCAAGGGCAGCTCTCGGTCTGAGAGCACCGCTGAATCTTTCCTCTCTAGATGAGGGTTAAAGACTCTCAGCCGGGAGCTGCCCATTGTGAACGGTTACTAACAAAGGCATCCCCTAAATGCTAAAAGATCTTGCCATCCCTGTCCTTTCACTGGGAACTGAGTCCATCTGGCTGCTAAGAGCTCTGCAGTCAGCTAGAACTGGTGAGGCGAGAGGCGGAGAGAAAAGAGAGGGAGGGGAGGGTAGAGGAGGCAGAGAGCGAGTGAGATGGAGCGAGGGGAAGGGAAGGCAGCAGGGAAGGAAACTGGGAGCGAGCGCGTGCCTGCTCGGCTGCAGGGGAAACTCTCACCTCCAATCGCTCTCCGCACTCCCAGCGGTGGGGGCAGGGCCACAGCAGCGCACTTTCCTCAGCAGCAGGACGGTCTGGTCTTGCTCTTTAACCTGAACAGTCGTCACTTCATCATCTTGCTTTAATTGTGGACAGGAGTGATGGATGGGAGAGGGAAAGAAGAAGAGAAAATTAAGAAGGAGCTAACTAGAGTTGCATGTGCTAGCTTTACAGCACCATTTCTTTAAAGATTTGGAAGAAATCAGGAGTAGGGCCAAGAGTCTCCCTCTAATATACAGAATCCAGACTCTGTAAAGGTTAAATTTAAGTTTTGCTTTTCTGTAAGTTTAAGTTCTGTTTTCCTGGAACCCGAAACTTATGTTAAAAACAGTTACTTATGTCAAAATGTACCCTGATCCAACACCCCCTGACAAAACGCATGATTATTCTGTAATGGTCATTTTGTAACAATCCCACCCTCGCACCCTAACTTCGCACCCTAACTGCCATATGAACTTCCCTGTTTAAACACTGCTTAAAAACTCTGCTTAAGCTGTGCTCAGGGCTCCAGCTTCTCTCAGGAGAGCTCTGAGCCCCAGCATGCTGGTCCAATAAACCCCTTTGCTTTTGCATGAGATAGTCTCTTGGTGGTCCTTTCCTCCAACGTTTGCCCGACCCTAACAACTCAAGTTCCATAGAAACATAAAGCAGTAGAGCGACACAAATACCTTAAAAGAAATAGGTAGGATGAGAGTTTGGATTCAAAGAGTTCATTTAAACTATCGGAACAATTTGAATTAGAGAACACAAAATTCAAAGTTTAAAAAAGCACAACATACTAACTGCATATGACTTCTCTTTTACCTGGTTAATGTTTTTAAACACTCTTTAAAATATCGTGGAAATCATATAAAAATATACATTATTTAAACACTAAAGAATGAGCACAGCCTTACTTGAAAACTACCCATTTAATCATTCAGATAGTCCCCCCTCCCGCCCCAGATGGTCTTCAAATTTATCATGTGCTTGTTTTGCCAGCATAAAACCAAAAATGGATCTTTAGTTAGAATCTTATCGAGGCTGAAATTTGGATGTCATGGGTGGCTGCACTGACTTTCTTCACCTCAGTCCCTTTTTAAAAGGAGAGAAGGCTGAACCATCATTCATTTCTGCATACACAGCTTCCACAGCCCAGAGCCAGTGTGGCCCGCTGACGTGGCTCAGTTGCAGAGGACGCTCCCTGCTGACCCAGCAGTGTGGACACAACTCTGAGCGATGAACACTTCCAGAGGGTTTAGTGTGAAACTCCCAATGTGCAATACCCAGGAAGGATAAGATAGCCCAGGACAGAGAATCATGAAGATGCATGTAAGAAAACCTAACTTCTATACTTTTGATGATTTGAAAAAAAGGTAAAAGTATGTAGGTTTCACCTTAAAAATGATGCCACCTTTTTGAACATGGGTTAAGATTTTTAGCATGTTTCTGCTATTGACAGAAAAATCCTATTAATCAGGTACAAACCTAAAGGAGGTTATCCCCACCCCTGATGGCCAGAAAGTGCCATATCCATTTTGCCTTATTAATTGCTTCTATAGGCCAATCAGGGATACCAATGATTTATTCACCTTTTATAAGAATAGAAAGGCACTAATCTTGTCATAATTACCAATCAAATCAATAATATTGTGATTTTAACTCCTGGTGTTCTGATTTTTAAGAAATGCAGTGATCCAGTCATTTAAATCCTCACAGATTTTCTTAAAAACAATCAGTATTGGTCATTCTAAACAGTAGTTTAATTTTATGATGATTCTTTGAAAATCTTTTAGTGGCAAATAATTTTACTATGTAAAACTGATGTATTACATTTCAGCAAGGTCAGACGCACAGTTTCTGTGGCAATTAATGTTGGATATTCATTGTTCAACTCCCTGAGGACGGCAGTGTGACTCCCGTAACATGAATACCAATGTGTAATTGCTATCTTTCATTTCTCTGAAGCAGTTCTTTTGTTATCCATGTGGCTGAAGTAAAATAAAGTGGCTAGAGAGAAAGGCATATATTGACCAGAAAGGAAAAAAAAAAAAGGAATGAAGGTCTGGGATACTAAAACCCACAGACAAATAATTGTGTGATTTGAAAGGATAAAAATCTTTCCCTGGGTTTCCTCTAGTCGTGAGCCAATATTCATTTTATATGACTGTTGTCATTCCGAAGTACGTTTTACATTCTACACGCACGTGATATATGGCATTATTAACTTCCGCAGGCCACGTGCATACATATGGATGGGAGGGCTTCTCTAATGTCTGTGCAACTGACGTGTATTACATGGCTGTGCACAGCAGCCATACTCTACTGGGCAGGGCATTAGCTGAATCAGACTGATGTACTATCAATAGCACCTTATGTCATTGTAATAGGTTCTATTTTGAAAACCTGTTAAAAATAAAGAAGAGAAAAAGCAGAAAAATCAATGAATGAAGGGAGATGTAAGTTATCAAAAAATTGCCATGAAAACATAATAATCCTATGCATTATGTCGAGCTCTGAGGAAGGAAAGTTAAATGAATGCTAATGACCCATATACCCTTAAAAAATTTCTCATGTTGAAAAAGGGCAGAAGTACCATAATTGAGGTTCTGGGTATGAAATTTTATTCTGGTGCTTGCTTTGTTAAGAGTAAAAGTACTAAGAGAGCTATCGTGGAAAATATGTTCAATGACAAATACTTCATGAAATGTATGAAAAATGTTAAAACACTTAATGGAGTCAGGTGTGGTAGTGCACCCCTGTAATCCCAGCAACTTGGGAGACTGAGGCAAGAGGATTGCAAGTTTGAGGTCAGCCCCAGCAACTTAGTAAGACCCTGTTTCAAAATAAAAAAATACAAAAAGGACTGGGGATGCATTTCAGTTCCCCCGGCTTCAATCCCCAGTTCCAAACAAATAAACAAAAACCCAAACTAAACAAAAAAAGAAAACCCCACTTAATCGACAGTCATTAAGTCAACAAATAGAAAGGGCCTCCTTTAGATAGGACGTCCATGGTGATGGATACCATGTGGCAGGCCCAGATGAGTAAGAAAAGTACCCTGTTCTTAACTAAGTTAATATATTCCATGGCAACCTAAGCATAGTTTGGTGAGCATACTAGAATGTTTCCAATTGCAAGAAAAAAAAAAAGGAAAAGGTAGAACCCTCAGGATTTGGCAGTTGAAGAAAAACTATGGTGATCAAGAGAATGGGAACGCCACCAAATGAGAAAAAGATGTGCAGAAGATTGCTTATGGGAAGACGGAGCAGTCTGTTTCAGACAGCTGATGTTTTAGTACTGATAAGACACCATGCGGGAGATGTTTAGTAGGCAGTTAGAAGAAAAAAGAGAGCGAGGTGAAGGGTAAAGGGCAAGAATATCAGAGTCCCAGGGAAAACCTCTTGTTTTTGAGACTACAAAGAACAAAACCAAGACAAGTCAGTAAGGAAAAAGATTGCCTGACCTTGTAAAGTTGACCAAGACAGTTAACCTAAGAAAAGGCGAGGAGGGGATCCCTTTAGGTCAAGAAGGGGAAGAGCAAGTGTTAAGGCAGAGTGGACCAAGGAGGACGGGAACAGAGGTGGAACAGCCTCTGGGGGTTTCATTATAGAGGAAAGGGGGTGGTGCAGATGGGGAAAGCACTGAGGTGGGAAGGGGACAGAGGGAAGAGCTGACAGAATGAGGAACACAAGTGGAGGATCAGGCTAGAAAAGGGACAGATGTCTTCCTTTCAGAAAGCTGAGGATGTAGGTTAGGGAATAAGGAAGCTGAGGTTGATCGCATGAGGGCCCCTATCCTCTTGGTAGAGTGGGAACTGAGGCATCTTCTAAAAGGGGTGAGGTGAAATTGGTGGCCCAAAGAGGACATTACTGGAAAAGTGGCTTCAGGGTGCGTAACAAGAGATAAACTAGTTATGAAAAAAGGATTGCCATGCAGCTTTGCAGACTGCTGAGGCTACAAAACCTGGTTTGATGACTTTCTGCTTTAAGAGCTCAGGAGCCTGAGAGGAAAACAGATGGAGGGGCCACCCTGGACTGGTGAAGGAGAGGGAGAGATGATGGAGGGGCTGGAGCACTTCAGGGAAAGACCTCATCACCACAGGGCCTCTGTCTGGCTGCGGAAAGTGTTGTTGAGTTGTGAACTCTGAGGGGCTGGGGACCACTCCTCATGGGGGCTTCAGTGCAGGCCTTGAGGAGCCAATGCCTGAAGTAGAGCAGATCTGAGTGGTGAAGAGGAAGAAAGGAACCGCCCTGTGAGATACACATGTCTTGAATCTTTTCCATGGTTTCTGACTTACAGCTCCTGTTCACCTTTATAATTTCCTGTTTGAGGGCAACTCTAAGAATATCTTTAATTAAAGTATTTGGTGGCCTTTTGTCCTTGGTTCCAAAAGCAGCTCCAGAATACTTCCAGAGTTTATGTTAATGAGGTACATTTGGGAAAGTCCCTAAATAACCACACCATGGGGGGCTGTTTGCCAAGGGCACCAACCATCAACTCAGAGGGCTGGGACTCACAGCCACAGCCTCTACCTCAGAGGAGGGGAAGGGCTGAAGATGGAGTTGGTCATCAATGGTCAATGACTTAATTAATTATACCTACATAAGGAAGCCTCCAGAAAACCCCAGAAGGACCGAGTTCAAGGGGCTTCTAGGAAGGCAAACAGAAATTCACCCATATTCCAGGAAGGTGGTGCATCTCAACTCCTCAGGGGAGGATGCTCCTGTGCTGGGGACCCTTCCAGACCTTGTCCTGTGCATATTTTCACCTGACTGCTCATTCATATTCTTTAAAAGATCCTTTACAATAAACTAGTAAGCATGTTCTCCTGATTTATATGAGCCACTCTAGAAAATTGATTGAATCCAGTGAGGGGATTGTAGGCACCCCAGTTTATAGCCAATAGGTCAGAAGCACAGGCATCCTGAAGCTTGTAACTGGCATCAAAAGTTGGAGGCAGCCTTGGAGGACTCGGCTCTCAACCTGTGGGATCTGATGCTGTCTCCAGGTATACAGTGTCAGAACCCAGCTCCACTGCAGGACATCAATGAGCTGGTGTTCATTGCAGAATCCCTGCTTGGAGTATGGGGGAAACTCC